GCAACTTCTGGAAGAACCTCTGGGATCAGTTCGGAACCAGGCTGCTGTTCAGTTCGTCGTACCACCCTGAGACCGACGGTCAAACGGAGCGGACAAATCAGACGATGGAGCAGTAGATTCGTGCCAAATGCGACGACCCCACAACTTGGGAGTAGCAGCTGCCGCTGATCGAGTTTGCGTACAACAACGCCACTTAAGCGACGACGCAGCAGTCCCCCTTCTACCTGAACTACGGGCAAAATCCTACAGTGCCCATGACGCCGAGTCCGGACAACCCAACACCACGCGCACAGCAATTCGCCGAAATTTTGCAAGCTGCCCGCACCAGAGCTGCAGAAGCAATTATAAAAGCAAACGTCATTGCTAAGCGCAACGCTGACCACCACCGCCGCCCAATCACATACCAGTCACGGGATTACGTACTGCTCGACACGCAAAATCTGCGAGTGCCCGACGTACCAAAACTTCGACCGCGCTACTGTGGCCCATTCCAAATCAGCCATATGATCACGTCAGTAACCGCGCACCTACTATTACCGACCGACTGGTACATCAGCCCTTCGTTCCACGTCAGCTTGCTTCGCCCATACATCCCTGTCATAATATAATGCTCTAGCCTGTAGTGGGGTGCTCTATAGCGAGTACAACCCTTCTAGGGTTTGCTATTTGTATCCTCACTCTTGCTAGTGCAACCCTCTTCTTTCTTTTAAACTTTAACATGCTATCAGAGCAGGTCGATCCCCTTGGATCGATCCTGTGGGTGGGCTCACCACCTCGTTGCTTCCGCTGCAACTTCCACTGCTACTCTCTGTGCCGCACGCCCCGTGGCGTGCGGCAGTTTTTTCTTCCCGCCGTGCGCCCCGAGGCGCGCGGCGGTTTTCTGCCCGCCGTGCGCCCCGTGGCGCGCGGCGGTTCTCTGCCCGTTGTGCGCCCCGCGGCGCGCGGCGGGCTTCTGCCCCGTCACTCGGCGCGTCGCCCTCGGGAGGCGCTGCGACGGGCGACGGGGACCCGCGCGTCGCCCCCCGTCGCCCGTCGTGGCCTGCGCGCGGCCCGTACGGGCTGCGCCAGGCCCGCGCGCGGCTGGGGCCGCCTGCGCGCGGTTCGGGCGGCTGTGCCAGGCCCGTGGGCGGCCCGTTCCTCGCTGCCCCTGCCCTCCCCGCTGTCCCCCGTGCTTCTACTGGCGCCCCACCCCTCCTACAGCCCGTTCCCCTGAATTAGGGTTTGGGGGTGAGGGGTATGGGGGTGAAGCCACTGTGTGCCGTTCCCTGCTCCTCCTCCTCCTCCGTCTCCCTGTGCTGCAGTTGCCGCTGAGGGGGGGTGGACTTGTTGGAGCCATTGGAGTGGTACTAAGGGGGGTTGAAGGGGGAGTGGAGCTAGCGGTGTAGCAGCGGGTGTGTGTCAGGGGGAGTGGGATAGTTTGGGGAGGTTGAAGGGGGTGGCCGCCGTGAAGCCAGCAGCTCTAGTCGCCCGTGAGACCGTTGCGCCAGTCGCCCGTGAGCCCGTTGCGACAGTCGCCCGTGAGCCCGTTGCTCCAGTCGCCCGTGAGTCCGTTGCTCGTCTGCCGCTACTTTTAGCCGCGGAGCCAATTACTCCAGTAGCCCGTGTGCCAGTTGCTCCAGTTGCCAGTGTGCCAGTTGCTCCAGTTGCCCGTGTGCCAGTTGCTCCAGTTGCGCCGTGTGCCAGCAGCTTCAGCTGCCGCCCACTACCTCCTCTCCTCTCATAGTCTCTTTCCTCCTCTTCACTTGCCCGTTGTGACTACTACTAGCTTTGCTCATAATTGTGAACTTTAAACTATTGCTTCTTGAACTTGTGCTCAGAATGTGTGGTGACATTGTGATCCACCCTGTGCTTGTACTGCTTTGCTTGCTCTGCTGATTACACCCCACTTTGGCTATGGGGGTGTGTCAGAATATTATGCTCTAGCCTGTAGTGGGGTGCTCTATAGCGAGTACAACCCTTCTAGGGTTTGCTATTTGTATCCTCACTCTTGCTAGTGCAACCCTCTTATTTCTTTTAAACTTTAACAATCCCAACCACAACCCAACTGCTTCGCCACCGCCCACCATCCATGACTCGCCCTGCATCAGAGCCGATCATCAAACCCGAAAAAAATATGAGTCATCGGATTCGCCACCCCACGGGAATCAGGAGGATTGAATTCCTTGTTCGCTGGAAGGACCGCACGCCAACTGAAGATAGCTGGGTGCCCCTGGCCAACATTGAAATGTCAGAATATTATCTTATTGTTCTAGCCTGTAGTGGGGTGCTCTATAGCGAGTACAACCCTTCTAGGGTTTGCTATTTGTATCCTCATTCTTGCTAGTTCAATCCTCTTTCTTCTTCAAACTTTGTCATGAAAATCACCCTGCCCTGCAAGTGTACCCGAGGAGCCCGGGATTCCGCGATATTTATGCACGCGCGTAGCGGAGGGGGCTTCTTGAGGAGGGGGGGGGGGGGGGGTAATGTAAGGAATTTTCTCGACATTCCTTATGGAGCCCGACTACATCGCGTACAGCAACAGCCGTTGTTCGCCCGTTACTGCTAACGGGACTTCGCCAACTTCGCGCGCACTGCTTTGCCAAACCTCGCACTGCTGGCCTGGCCGTGTCGGCCTACGCTTCGGGACTAGCCCGAGCCTCGCTGCCAGCATAGCACTAGCTAGCTCGCACGCACCGCGTTACCGTTTGCATGTTTCGCGTATAAATGTTCGCTCATGCCTTCGCTCACATCTTTGTACTCGTTTGACACCTTAGTGCAATTCTCGCTACTTCGATTCATTGCACCCGTAACATTCTCCCTTTTTTACGGATTACAAGTCTTCATTTCGATGTTTTACTGTGTGTGATTGTAAACGCTGGTATTATAAACGGAATTGCGCATTCTGTGGGTGTAGACGTGGACAATCAGTTTCCTTTTGCTGAGTCAAACCTGACTTGTACGGTGTACAATTTGGTTGGAACGCGAAGTTACCATCCAGGATTTCCGGACGCACTGTTCATTACCATTCAGGCAATAATGTTGACCATCTCGGCAATGCTGGTTACCATGGTGGCGATGAGAAGACATCTCTGTTACGTTTTGGACACGTGGCTTACCTTGCGTGCGATTGAGCTCCATGAGTGTTACCGCTAAGATAAATGCCCATATGTTTTAGATGTAAGCAGCCCAGAGGATGTAATACTGACATGGCAGTTTACCACTCGAATCTTGCAACATGAATCCCGCTGGAGCAGGTTGAGCTTTGCAACACGAAACCCGCCCCTTCGCCGTTGCAATAGCGAATCGTTATCTCACCTCTCAACCAATAGGTTCCACCGTCCGTCCCTAGAGGCTCATGTCGTGTCAGGGTCTCCTGGGGTCATCAGGGTCATCTCGTTGACGGGAGTCACTAGTCACGACGACTCACGATCACGACTACACACATAACTCCCTAGAACGTACGCGGTTCATTTCAGGTGTTTCCTTTCCATACTCCAGCCAGTTTCACCTTGCTGTTTCCGCACGCAAGGACCTGATCTATCTGCGGTCCCACCTTTCCTCCGAAGTCCGCGTTTGTGGTTGTCTCGCTAGAAGCAACTACGCATTCCGAGTATGTCGCTTGCCCTTTCCGTGTGCTCTGGGTTGCACTGCTTGCAACCAACCAACCAACCCCCGCGGAGTTTTGCAAATCATGGCGGTGTGTAGCTAGTGGCCGGGAACGGTCACATCTGCCGTCATATTTCATTTGTCGCAGCGACTCCCGTCCAGTCCTGTCGTCGGCCATTGCCGATTGTACGTGCACTGAAACTGAAACTGTGTACTGCGGTTGGAACTGCGACGTCTTGCTCTTACAATCACTAGAATATTTATTATGGTGAGCTGTTCAATGCATTGTTTCCGTTGGAGGCTCTAGTAGGATGAGGAGCGTACGGTCGCAACAGCCGCTCGGCAATGGCAGATTTCTGACGAGACGAAGCGTTCCTGTATTTTATCTCGAAACAGCCTTGTACCGCGCATAGACACTGCTACCAGCAGTCCTCCTTTCCGCGAAGATTCGGGCGGGAGTCCCTCTGTTGAGTATATCTTTTTCCAATGCAGCGACTGTTCGCAAAGTCTGACGCAGAAATAGGCTGCGAAGTCTAGAGATTAACCAGGCTAGGGAACAATCGGATTCTCTATCCGTAGGACTGCATAACGTCAGTTGCTTATTAAGCGCCAAACCGTCATTCGTTTTGTTACAATCACCCACCGAGTTCTTAGGTCAATGGGAAAACCAGTGGGTTCTTGCGCTAACCAGCAGAGCCATGCCGTTCGGTGGTTGTCAGTGCGATGGCTACCACGGTTACCACGAGACCTGTCGCGAATGTCGCTCCTAGTCTTCGTCCTCTTCGCATATGCGAGCACCAGTACAAGTAAGATTGTGCTCCTCTGATCAGTTTCTTCATGTTTTTTTCTCATGCTGGCTCCTGGGACTGCACCATTTGAATCTCCCTCTCCCTTTCTGATCAGTTACATTTGCCGTTTTGTCTGAGAATCCATGATTGACGCTCTGAGGCCCGTCTCGGTCTCTTTGCTCCAGGTTCCTTTACTTGAAATGGCTTCTTAATTTCAGAATGAATCGGTCGCTACCTTTCAGTGAAATTGGAGTGCACCACCCCCAGTTGTCAGATTCATTGATTCATTATTCACCCCTCGTGTCGTCCATTTCTTTCTTCCTATTGGACATGACCGCAGTCAACTGGCCGGTTCCAGAAGCAGCAACATCTTCTGCTGGAACTCATCCCCAAGGTCCTCGAATACTTAGCATTCCCACGGCCAACAGCAGCAGCAGCAGCAGCAATGACTACAGCGACAACAAGGTCAACAGCAGCAGTATCAGTGATCACCAAACCCCAGATATAAGCAGATGTAACGCCTCTAGGTTATCTATAAGCGGTCATCTAAGCAAGCAAGTCTCGCGTCTGCTGTGGGGGTTTCTGCAGAGCGCTCGAAAGCAGCAGCTGTCGCATTCAGCCACAGGGATGAAAGGATCACGAGTAGAGGGTATGGAGAAGGATAAAAAGGATAGGAGGGAGGAGGATAAGGAGGGGGTTAAGGGAGATAAAGGGGAGGAGGATAAGGAGGGGAGAGAAGGGCGACGAGGAACGGAGCAGGTATGGCTTGGAAGGGATGGGAAAGCTTTCGCGGATTTGCAGTTTTCAAACCTTGAGTTGCTGCTACCGTCAGCAAGAGCAGCGGGTATTTACTTTGTGCGCCGACCAGAGGGGTCGGAAGCAGGGGAGGACGAGGGGGGAGAAGCGGGGGAGGACGTGGGGGGAGAAGCGGGGGAGGACGCGGGGGGAGAAGCGGGAGAGGACGCGGAGCAGCACGAAGAGGAGGAGAGGGAAAGGAAAGAGGAGAGGGAGGATGATGAGGCGTGGTCGCAGTTGCGGCATGAGGCAGTTGCTCTAAGCGATCACACCTTTCAACATCATAAACGCCACAAGGGAAGCCAGCCATTCACCTCACCTCACTCACACCGTCCTATATCCCATTCTCCCCGGCGTCGGCTCATCATGAGCTGGCAGAAGGATGACGTGTCGTCTGAGGGTGACGCGGCACCCCCCTCACGGCGGCGCCAGCTCATCATGAGCTGGCTGAAGGACGCGTGGGTGCGCAGCGTGGCGTTCCGCCTGAACGGCGACCCCCGGGAGGACCGATTCCTGGTGGGCAGCCAGCAAGACCAGGGCTACCAGTGGCAGTGGACGGACGGGGTGGTGGGACCCAGCTGGAGAAGCCCCTTCGTGCGAAACCTCTCTTTGGATATGGATGTGAGTGCATGAGATGGCATGACAAGTGCATGGCATGGCATGACAAATTGACCCCTGAGGACCCCCGGGAGGACCGATTCCTGGTGGGCAGTCAGGCGGACCAGGGCTACCAGTGGCAGTGGACGGACGGGGTGGTGGGATCCAGCTGGAGAAGCCCCTTCGTGCGAAACCTCTCTTTGGATATGGATGTGAGTGCATGAGATGGCATGACAAGTGGATGGCATGGCATGACAAATTGACCCCTGAGGACCCCCGGGAGGACCGTTTCCTGGTGGGCAGTCAGGCGGACGGACCAGGGCTACCAGTGGCAGTGGACGGACGAGGTGGTGGGACCCAGCTGGAGAAGCCCCTTCGTGCGAAACCTCTCTTTGGATATGGATGTGAGTGCATGAGATGGCATGACAAGTGCATGGCATGGCATGACAAATTGACCCCTGAGGACCCCCGGGAGGACCGATTCCTGGTGGGCAGTCAGGCGGACCAGGGCTACCAGTGGCAGTGGACGGACGGGGTGGTGGGATCCAGCTGGAGAAGCCCCTTCGTGCGAAACCTCTCTTTGGATATGGATGTGAGTGCATGAGATGGCATGACAAGTGCATGGCATGGCATGACAAATTGACCCCTGAGGACCCCCGGGAGGACCGTTTCCTGGTGGGCAGTCAGGCGGACCAGGGCTACCAGTGGCAGTGGACGGACGAGGTGGTGGGACCCAGCTGGAGAAGCCCCTTCGTGCGAAACCTCTCTTTGGATATGGATGTGAGTGCATGAGATGGCATGACAAGTGCATGGCATGGCATGACAAATTGACCCCTGAGGACCCCCGGGAGGACCGATTCCTGGTGGGCAGTCAGGCGGACCAGGGCTACCAGTGGCAGTGGACGGACGGGGTGGTGGGATCCAGCTGGAGAAGCCCCTTCGTGCGAAACCTCTCTTTGGATATGGATGTGAGTGCATGAGATGGCATGACAAGTGCATGGCATGGCATGACAAATTGACCCCTGAGGACCCCCGGGAGGACCGTTTCCTGGTGGGCAGTCAGGAGGACCAGGGCTACCAGTGGCAGTGGACGGACGGGGTGGTGGGATCCAGCTGGAGAAGCCCCTTCGTGCGAAACCTGTCTTTGGATGTGGATTTGAGTTAATGCATGCGTGACATGACACTTTGATCCCTGAAATTAGACCTCCGGGAGGGCCGCTTCCTGGTGGGCAGCCAGGTGGACCAGGGCTACCAGTGGCAGTGGACGGATGGCAGCAGCTGGCTCTAGCCTTGTGTGCCAAGGTCCTTCCCCCCGAAGTGTTTGACGAGCCCACGGGAGTGCTCACCCCCACGCCTGTCGCTAGTGCCCCTCTTGACTCTCCTTCCTCCTCTCTTACCATCACCTCATCCTCCCATCCTCCCGTTCTCCTCTCCTCCCCCCTTCCCCAGGCTCTAGCCTCGTGTGCCAAGGTCCTTCCCCCTGAAGTGTTGGACGAGCCCACGGGAGTGCTCACCCCCACGCCAGTCACGGGCGGACACCTCACAGCACTCTCCTTCCTTCCCTCTTCAAATTCCCCCTTCTTCTCCCCCTGCCCCAGGCCCTAGGCTCGTGCGCCAAGGTGCTGCCCCCCGAAGTGTTTGACGAGCCCACGCCCATCCTCACCCCCACGCCAGTCACAGGCGAGCACCTCGCAACGCTCTCCTCGCCGCTCTTCGCCCCACAGCCCCTCCCTGCATATGCTAACGAGGGGGTACGAGGCAGAGAGGAGCAGGAGGGGCAGGAAGGGCAGGGAGGGCAGGGCGAGCAGGGAGAGCATTATCCGCAGCATCAGTCTTCAGCCGAAGCTGCTCTTGCTGCCGTAGCAGCATCCATGCATCCCCACTCTTCTCACTCTTCCTCCTCATCCAGCGACGACCAACAACAGCAGGGCCAGCAGGACCAGCCGCAGCAGCAGCAGCAGGAGCGGTACTTAGTGTGGTTTCCCCGCTTCGGCTTAGGCAACTCCCTGCGCGGATTTTGCTCAGCATATGTGTATGCTCTCCTCTCAGGCCGCCGGTTGCTGCGGTGGCACGGAGGGAAGCACAGGGCCGTGCTAGATCATCTCTGCACCACGTTTGACTGCAGCGGCGTCGCCCCATTGGTCAATTTCACGGATGATATCCGCCACGTCAGCGAGCCCCTCGAGCTGCACGCGCCAAGACAAGAGTTTCTTTCTGCCCTGCACTCCGGGCTGCCCGTGGTGCATGTGAACACGGGCAGCTTTTTCGATAATTTCTGGCATAAGAACGGGCGGCTGGCCCCGTGTGTGCAGCGCGCGTTTCACTGCCATAACATCTGGTGTGTGAGGAGTCATGCCATTCATGCCTTGCTCGGGCATGGACCTGTGCCTGAGCTTCAAGAGGTGATAGAGGAGACTGTGAGGAGGAAAAGGTGGGGCGAGGGTGGTGGGAGTGAGGGTGGAGGAAGAGGAAAAGGGGGAATGAGAGAGAGTGAGGGCCGTAGGGGGAAGAGAAGGGGGGAGGACGGTGAAGGGGTTGGGAGGGGGGGTGAGGAGAGGATGCAGTTAGGAGGGGAGGAGGAGGGAGGGGTAGAAGAAGGGAGGTCCGTAGGGAAAGAGAGAGGCAAAGAGGGAGGGGCAGAGGGAGGGAGATGGGGTGGTGGTGGTGGGACAAGGCGCAGGCTGGTTGGGAGGAGAGTGGGGGTGGAGGAGGTCGGAACACCCCATTCGGGTCTTCTTGGTGGTGGCGGAGAGAAGGAGCAGAGCAATGCAGAGCAGAGAGAGGGAGGGGGTCTTGCAGGGAGAGAGCGTGGGAGCGGGGGGCCAGCAGCAGAAGCAGAAAGGGGGGGTGAGGATAAGGGTGAGGTGCATGGGAAGGATGAGGCGCAACGGATTGTGGGTAGAGAATCAGCCGCAGTGGTAATAGCAACAGCAGCAACAACAACAGCAGCAACAACAACAGCCACCGCAGCAACAGCAACAGCAGCTGTGGAAGTGGCAGCAGCAGGAGGTGCAGTAACAGATGCAAGCAGTAACAGACCTAGTACCCCAGCTCCTATCATCTCAGCACCTGGCAGCTCGGCACCTGGCAGAATAAGGCAGCTTGAGGAGTATGCTGCTGAGGGGAGTTATGCGGAGCAGGGAGGCGGGGCTGCAGCAGCCTCTTCTGTTGATAGCGAGTCAGCTTATGGAGAGGATGGTGGGGAGAGCGAGCAGGCGGGCGGTGCGAGAGTGAAGAAAGGCACTGGGCTGCGGCTGCAATTCGACGTGGCCATTCAGATCCGCACAGCCACCAAGTGAGTACTCGTGAAACAGCTCCTCATGCCCCTGCTCCTGCTCCCTTCCGTCCCCCCTCCCTTCCCTCCATCCTTCCCCGAAGTTCCCTCCTTCCTTCCTCTACCTGACCCTCCTGCCCTTCGTCCTCATTTTTTCCCCCCACGCTCCTCCCGGTATCAGCTTGGTGGAGCAACCTTCATGTCACAAGGCTCCCTCCTCTCTTTCTAACCTTCCGTCCCTTCTAATCATCTCGCCCTCCTTCCGTTCCACCATTCGTCCCCATCCCCTCCCTCCGACCACCAGCTTGGTGGAGCACCCCTCATGCCACGAGGCAGACAGGGAGTGTGAGCACGAGCAGCAGCAGCTGAGGGCAGCAGAAGCGGCACACATGCAGCAGTTTCTCACACCCGACAAGTGGGCCTGCATCACGCGCCTCCTCCTCTTCCTCCGCACCCGCAAGTCCGGCATCAAGCTGCCCAACCCCTCCAACAACAACCCCGATCCCTTGCTCTCCCTGCTGCAGTCCTTGGCTGGTCGGGCTAGTCAGGCTGGTCAGGGATTAGTGAAGGAAGAGGGTGGGCGAGGGTCGAAAAGAGCGCGCGGTGCTGGGGATCTTGGGGATGGGTTGGAGGGGATTGAGAGCGGTGCTTTGTCTTCTCTGAAGCCGCTTTCCGTCTTTTTGGCAACGGACAACGAGAACCTGCGGCCGCAGTTTGTGGATAAGATCGGGCCGGTGGCTGGGGATGTCTTTTTCTCCACTGGCGCTGTCACTCACACGTCAAAAAGCGGCACTGCAGCTGCTGCTGCTGCTGCTGCAGCAGCAACAGGAGGAGGTGGGCCAGCGGGAGCAGGAGGAAGAGGGGGATTGGAAGGTAGAGCAGAAGGGGAAGGAGAAGCAGAAGGTTTGGAACGTTTGGAGAGGCAGAAGGGAGTGCCTCAGGAGCATTTTCAGCAGCAGCCGTCCCCAACCATGGCTGAGTTTTTCCTGCTCAGTCGGGCCCGTGTGCTTGTGAGTTTTAATAAGTATGTCAGCACATTTGCCATGTTCGCTTCCATGCTCGGGAATGGGACGTTACTTGCGCTCCAGACAAGACCGCCGACGGCTAGTCCTGTAGGGGGTTGCCACTTTCAAGTGGAACACCTGGCTGGGGATGGAGGTGGCAAGACTGCAACATCTGGACGATGATAGCTGGACTTTCCATTGTCCTTGTACAAACATAATGCACTTATTCAATTGTGCATCAGGTTTATAGAAGGAGAAAGAGATTATCAATGTTGATTCATTCTTAGAAAGCGGTTTTCGTTAGATTTCATTTCTTAGTGCCTAAATCGCGTACCACGCTACCGAGGGTCAGTGATACCCTGTCACAAGCAGACCATAGAGGCGCGCATCGCATTCAAAATCTTCAGCGCTTCGGAAAGTGACACGCGCAAACATGGCGATCCGTGACTCAATCGAGAATTGCGCAAGACCGCTCCGCTGTTGGTTTCCGTGCACAGAGATTGATTGGGGTGTGCTCTTTTCGCCTCGCCTCGACTCCCCCCGTCCCCACCTCCCCACCTCCCTCTCACCTCTCTTCTCTCCACGCATCTACTCGGCATCGTCGCTCAAATCGACCTTTTATCAGCTCTCCTCACCTCACCCCCCTAGTCAACCTCGTTAGTATCTCGGCGCACAAAAGCAAGGGAACACAGGCCGCGATCCGATTCCAGTATTTGTTTCTGGAACCCCAGTCTATTGTCGTCGGGTTTCTCTGGCTCAGGTTGCACGAATTATATTGTTTAGAAAGTTCCTAAGGGATTTGATTCAACAGGTCAGCAACCATGCGTTCCCACACAGCCCCCCGTGTGTTGCTTCTCGCGCTCTGCCTCTCCTCCTTCACCGCCGCGATCTCCGCGCAATGGATCAAAGGCTTCGTTGCGTCGTACTACGCGCTCCAGAACCGCCCCAACGGCGCGTGTGGGTACCCCCAATTACACCACAACACGGCATCGATGTCCACCGTAGGCTACGCTAACGGCAGTAACTGCGGCGCGTGTTTCCAGATGCGGTGCACCGGCCACCCGTCGTGCAAGCCGGGGATCATGACAGTGCCCGTTACTGTCACGAATATCTGCCCGCCGAATGCGCCCGGCGGGTACTGCGCGAAGAATAAGCGGAGCATCACACTGCCCAATCCCGTGTGGAATCAGATGTCGAAGGATCCCTCCGCCGGCGTTGTTCCCGTGGAGATTAAGCGCGTCAGGTGCCGGCGCGTGGGTGGCGTCGCATTCAATATCACTGGGAAGGAGTACTACGTCACCGGTGAGAGTGAATGGTGTTCTTGTATCGGGCGCCGCGTCACCGTTTTGAGGCCCTTGTGGAGAGTGCGTTATATTCAGCAATGCGATTTCCCGAAATCATAATGTCTTGTTTCATACCCATCACATTCCGGGTGGAGCACCATCCATTGCGTTCGCCAACCATCAGCATGATTCCGGCATTATCGTTACCGTGCCTTCTCTCTCTTGTCCCCCAGCCTTGCCTCTCAACGTGGCCGGAGCTGGCGCCTTAAAGCGCGTTGACATCTCGATCGCGCGCGGCCCGTGGATGGCTATGCGCAAGAGCTACGGCGCTGTGTGGGACCTGCCGGGCCTGCCCGTGGTCGGCATGTCGCTCTCCTTCCGCCTCTGGCCCGCCCTCGGGACTCTCCCGCTCGAGGCGTGGGATGCTGTTCCCGCGAATTGGGTTAACAATACGATTTATCGCACGGCGGTAAACTTCCCGTGAGTCAGACGAGCGGGTCTAGGGCACTGCTTTCTGGTGATTATGCTTGCTGGCGCGATACCTTGCCGAGTTTGTCGTGTAGGGAAAATAAGCATAGGATACAGGGGTTTGGGTAGGGGCGATGGATTCGGAGTCACTGGGCTTATCATCGTGATAGGTCGAGAGAATGCACGTGGTGCGTCTCGTGCACGTGATGTAGGGTACTCAATTGTAAAGTCAGAATGCATCCATCTGAGCTCATGCTCTCTGCAGTTGTCTTTCACTTGGGTTTGAACTGCTGCTTGAGTCATCCACCATGAGCATGACATATGATGCAAAAAGTAGAACATTTTCATGTGACATAACAGTTCCAGCGCAAACCTCAAGAGTGGCACAGAAAACTTTGGACACCACATTTTTATGGGAAAGGCGAGGTGGTGGCAGGTGGTGGAGACTGAAGTCCTGTTATGAAAAGATGTAGGGATGTCTAGGTGTCAGTAACTGTCGCAACAAATCTACACATTGTACCGAAGCAGAACTGTCGCAACAAATCGAATTCGTGAGTGTTTGAACGAGTGGAGCTTCGCGAATTGTTGTGTAACTGCTACTTCTCGTTAGCTCACCCACCAGATGATGACCTAGGCTGACAGCTGCGAAAAGCTTCGCCGACAAACACAGTTCTGAACGAGCGCCGCGCTGTTTCGCAATCACCTGACGCAGGGCAAACGGGCTCTTGTTCGTTTCGCCGCTACCTGGGCCACCGCGGACTGGAATACATGCAAAGCACGTCCGCCCTGAATTCGAACACAACACTCAATCGAACCAGACCACAGTCCACACAACCTTATCGTTGTATCCGCATTTCTCTCATCCCGACGAAGTCCTTGGCACAGACACATCCCCTCAACGTTTTTTTCCCCCACACTTTCATTAGTGCTGTACGCTGATCTTTCGGAATGCAGAAATCTCGTGCGACGGTGCGTTTCATTTCTCACACGGCTAGGGTTAGACGCGATAATCACCTCTCGCTTCCCAAGAAGAGAGCAATCGCGAAGTTCTGTTCACGTCGCCTGGCATTAATTCCGACGGGAGGTCATGTTTCATCGCGATACTTACGCACGCAACATCGCAGGCCCTTGTATTTCCACGGGAAATGGCGGCGCTGCCCGTCCTCGTGGCGCTTCTCTCTCTCGTCTCTCTGTCCCAATCAGGTACGCGTCTCCACGCGCCCCCGCCGAAATCGCCGTCGTAAGCCCGTTGCCACGAGGGTTCACAGATTCGCAACCTTCCCCATTGCATTCTCCTATTTCCGAGTCCCTCGCAATGCCCCTCCATTTCCCGGGTTGTCTTTGAGAATTCTCAACCCTCTCCGGGATCATCAGCTGAGAAAAAAAAAGCCTCCTTCTCCTCCTGTGCTGCTACGTGTTCCCCGCCGCACGTGCCGCCGCTTTTCCCGCTCCGCGCAGCGCCGTGCCTCCTCCCCCAAGTGACGATCAACGTAACGCGCGAGTCCCACCTCTACCTTCGAAAGAACTACCCCGCCAATCAGGTGAGCCGCTCAAGTGACCCGCCAATCAGGTGAGCCGCTCGGGAGCCTCCTCTCTCCACCGGCACGAATACCTCTTCACCCCATTCGCACCCTTCTCCTCGCTTCCCCCTTCCATTCCCTTTAAATCGAATTTCGTCGACGCCTCTCAGCGCCTTTCCTCCGCCGCGCATTTCCGCGTCTTTCTCCCGTCTTCCATGTCTTCCCCGCCACCACCACGATGGGCAAGCATACAGCACGGAAACATCTTGAACCGCTCCCCCCTGGTTCCCCTTGTCCTGCCCCCGCCAGTACGTGACGATGGTGCTGCAAGCGAGCATACAGCTGACAGACACGTTTGTGATGGACGCGAAATTCAGCTGCACTGTCTTCCGCTCCGACAAGGACAGAGCCTTCGACCTCATCTCGCCCTCTGTAAAGTGCGTCCCCACCGCTCTCGACCATTCTCCACCCCTTTTTAAGCCTCCGACCCAGCTTTGAGTGTTCAGCTGCACTGTCTTCCGCTCAGACAAGGACCGCGCCTTTGACCTCATCTCGCCCTCCGTCAAGTATGGCTCGCCTCTCTCCACCCATCTCCAACTCTTTCCACCGCTCTCCAACGCACTTCTCCAACACCCTCTCCGCTCTCTCATACCCATGTGACGTGTTTGCTTCCCTTCGTTCGTCCCGTCTGAATGAGTTCCCCATTTCCCTCGATCCCATTCCCTAGATCCCATTCCCTCGATCCCATTCCCCCGATCCCATTCCCTCGATCCCATTCCCTCGATCCCTTTCCCTCAATCCCATTCCCTCGATCCCATTCCCTTGATCACATTCCCTCAATCCCATTCCCTCGATCCCATTCCCTCGATCCCATTCCCTCGATCCCATTCCCTCGGCCTCTCCACCCCCCACAGCGCCATGGTAACAAAGATCGTCAACACCAACAACGTGTTGGTCATCAGGGTGAATTTCAAGATAAAATCCACCGCACTCCACCCCTCCCCTCCACCCTCCCACAGCGCCATGGTAACAAAGATCGTCAACACCAACAACGTGTTGGTCATCGGGGTGAATTTTAAGATGCCCGTTTCGACTGTCGGGCAGCGGGACTGCAACTATATTGAGACACGCTTTATTGACTTCATTGGCAAATACGCTTGCCCTGCTGTGTGGCTGTACCGAGTATGGGGTGTACAAGTGGTGCAGGTACGCTCAGTCCCTCTCACACCCATCCTACCACCCTTCATTCCATCGGCTCTGCTCTGTACTGTAACAGCCGAAGCCAAAAGGGAGTTGCTGTTAATGTCCCTCCTCCTCCTCCTCCTCCTCCTCCTCCTCCTCCTCCTCCCTCCTCCTCCTCCTCCTCCTCCTCCTCCTCCTCCTCCTCCTCCTCCTCCTCCTCCTCCTCCTCCTCCTCCTCTCTCCTCTCTCCTCTCTCCTCTGCAGGGCAACGTGTACGGGCGGGTGGAGGTGGCGAGAGCTAATCGCTCACGGGTCGACTCAATGGATGTGCTCGTGAAGGCCACCAACCAGCCCGGAGCCATTGTGGTGATGCTCTCGGGGGACGGGCCTAACCTCATCCGCAGCGAAGTGGTTATTTCCAACAATAACATTCGGACAGAGGGCAGCTTGGGGCAGGGCGCCGCGTGAGTCGCTTTTGATACACCTTTTTGTCTTTTTGTTTTGTGTGCGTGCGTGTCTATTGGAATAAGCCACTGTCTTTAGGCTTCCAGGTGCAGCAGCAATGCGTGCAATCACTCTTGAGGATTCTCGCTTCTGAGTCATCTCTTCGGATTTAGTAGGTGTAGTGTAGGCTTACAACCAGCAGCAGTGTCATCTTCCTTTTCTTCGCTTACAGATCTTTTTTTAAAGCTCATTTCTTCGCCTCGCTTCTCTCAATCCCTGCTGCCCCTTGCCCTCCCTGCTGCCTTCTGTCTTCCCTACCACCCACCCCATTCACTGCAGTGTGGGAATCATGCTATACCGAGGGGCAGTGGGAGTGAACGTGGCAGGCAACCGGCTGTCGCACCTCACCGTCGCAAGCCTTCATTCCCCCCTCTCTCCTGCTTCCCGTTTCGATCGCAGTGTGGGAATCATGCTGTACCGAGGGGCAGTGGGAGTGAACGTGGTGGGAAACCGTCTATCACACTTCACCCTTGCAAGCCTGCAACTGGGATGGGGGCAGATGAACGTGGGCGATGCAATGCTCACCCTCGTTGCCCACAACAACATTATTCATAGCTTTGGGCAGCTGGGGGATTGTTCAGGTATTTACCTCAGCACGCACTGGGTGAACCCTGGAAATATCCACCGGTGCAACTACGTTCAAGGGGGTGGGCACTGCCTGTATTTCGACTGGGTGTCATCGGGAGTGATCGTGGATGGGCTCGTGTGCGTGCAAACTGCAGATGGGCTGAAGCTAAACACTGGGAAGAAGTGAGTACAAGGACACGCCCTTCAACTTGTAGAATTCTCCTGAATTCTCCTCTAAAGCCTTCAACTTGTAGAATTTTCCTGAATTCTCCTCTAAGGCCTTCAACTTGTAGAATTCTCCTGAATTCTCCTCTAAGGCCTTCTACTTGTAGAATTCTCCGGAATTCTCCTCTTGTAGTGATTGTTGATGGGCATGTGTGTGAGAAAGCTGCGGATGGACTGCTTCTGAGGCACCTCAAAAGATCGACACGGGAGAGAAGCGAGTGGAAGGGCACTCTGTCTCTTGCTCTTACAACGCTCCACTCTCTCCACCTCATTCCATCCATTCCATCCCATTCCACCTCATTCCATCCCATTCCATCTCATTCCATCCATTCCACCCCTGTTCTCCACCCCTCCTGCATTGTTTCAGTAACGAGATTCGGGGAATGGTGGTTATAGACAGCAAGCAGCCGCTAGCAGGGTACATCTCGTGCCAAAACTACGGAGTGAACAACTGTGATAAGCTGAACGGTATCAGGTGGAACAACGACCTGCTCACTTATTACCAGACGCCAGGGATCAAGAAGGTGAGCCGCTCTTCTCTGGTCGTTTGTAGTTTCTGTGCCTTGCAACTAGCATTGGTCGTTTGTAGTTTCTGTGCCTTGCAACTAGCATTGGTCGTTTGTAGTTTCTGTGCCTTGCAACTAGCATTGGTCGTTTGTAGTTTCTGTGCCTTGCAACTAGCATTGGTCGTTTGTAGTTTCTGTGCCTTGCAACTAGCAAGCATCGCCTCCCAATTTCCATCTTCCCTCCTTCCAGCCCACCCCCTCTCTCGGTCCGCTTTCCCTATTCCTTGCCAATCTAATGCAACAGCTTCTCTTCTTCTTCTTCTTCTTCTTCTTCTTCTTCTTCTTCTTCTTCTTCTTCTTCTTCTTCTTCTTCTTCTTCTTCTTCTTCTTCTTCTTCTTCTTCTTCTTCTTCTTCTTCTTCTTCTTCTTCTTCTTCCCTCCTTCACCCCCGCACCCCTCCCCCCCCCTCTCCCCACCTCCATTACCCCTCTCCACCAGCTCTTCCCCTTCCTCACCAACTTCTGCAACAAAACATCCATTCACGGAATCAACTGCAACCAAGGCACATCAGCCACTCCCGGACCTTCCGCCACGGGCAGATGTTCCGGGTTGCCCACCGAAAACATCGCTGAGATTGTCACGGCCACCACCAATAATTCCACAAGGCTGGTTATCCACCACTCCAACTGCGCTTCTTTTGCCGCCATCCCGAAATTAAACAAGCTGACCTACCTGCCCGTGAAACTCAGCGACGCTGGGTTCAGAAGCGTGGAGAACCGCGACTTTGGCCTCCTTTACAATTCGCAGATTCGGAAAAAACTTCCGACTTTTCGGAGCTGCCCGGTGAAGGACATTGACCCAAAAAGTGTGCCCCACGCACAGTACTATATCCTTTTTAATCGGGATATTCCGTCGTTGAGGCCCATTTCCGCAAGGCCTGCATCCGTAGGAAAACCCGGGAGCGTATCGAATGTTTATGGTGGAGGGCAAGTGTCTCGCAATGTGACTCTACAGCCAAATCCGTACGCTACAAGCAAGTGGAGCCCACAACTGGAGCGAGAGCTGCGGCCTGGATTCATGATGACGATGCGCGAGTGGATGAGGTTCAATGCACGGCACCCTGTCCGCCAATCAGCCCCCCGACAGAAGGCATGAGCATGTTTTTCCGGCATGGATGGACCACCAGCATAAACACTCCACACGCTTGCTTGATGCCTTGCTCTTTCCTTGTTTGTACATATTTTCTGTTTATATTTATTCCAGGCGATTCTCCTGAGTTGATACCCACTTGCTGTAATTGTTTAGCTTTGCCACCCACTCTGAACTGCCACTCTCCTGTATGAACAATTACACATGTTTAAGTGGCCCACCCACCGTGAACGCGCTTGTAATGGTGCAAAAGCGGGGCAATCTCATGTGCAATCCCCTGGAGCTGAATGCAAACTTTCAGTGCTGCTGCAGAAGTGACGCATTGGAATACCATAGCTCGGAAAAAAGAATGTGGCAGAATGTGATGGGTAGCGGACATAGAAAGGGGGTATTGATTGGTATACAGCAAATTAGGTATCATCATTTTATGTTGACGAGCCTTGTCTGAGAGTGTACACATTTTAGCTGGAGGATGGCAACGAATCGAGTTCGTCAGCAGAGCAGTCGAGAGTTCCACAACTGAGTGGCGCAGCGCCAGAAGCAAGTTCTCCGCCAAGGGCGGGATGTGGTCCTACAACCTACATTTTTCCCCGCATTCTTTGGCCTTCTGGTTGCGCCATTCCCCGCATTCCATCCTATAAGGAATTTTCTCGGCATTCCTTACGGAGCCGACTACATCGCGTACAGCAACAGCCGATTGTTCGCCCGTTACTGCTAACGGAACTTCGCCGACTTCGCGCGCACTGTTTTGCCAAACCTCGCACTGCTGGCATGGCCGTATCGGCCTACGCTTCGGGACTAGCCCGAGCCTCGCTCCAGCGTAGCACTAGCAAGCTCGCACGCACCACGTTACCGTTTTGCATGTTTCGCGTATAAATGTTCGCTCATGCCTTCGCTCACATTTTGTACTCGTTTGACACCTTAATCGCTACCTCGATTCATTGCACCCGTAACACTTGGTATCAGAGCCCCTTTCTTTCGGACCGCACATCTCCGCACACCAGGAAATCAACTTTTGATTTTTCACTCGAAGGGACTCACGCACCTTAGCCCCTAGGAGCCGCTGTCCTCGCGTTCTCTCGTAAACGCGTGCAGCCACGACTGCGCCTAGACTAAGACGAGCCGACGCCCTTCATCATGGCTGAAAACATCGACGTCACCACCCTCACGCAGGAGCGTTTGAACGATCTGCTGCGATAGCTGCACGAAAGCTCTGAGGAAATCGCGGCATTAACGGCAGAACGCTCATCGCTGCAAAATGACCTCATGAGGGCACAACAAGCACAATCTCAAGCACCTGGCACTCCGATTCAACCTGCACCCTCAACATCGCAACACGGGAGTGTGGGGCAACCCGCGAGCGCGGCCAGTGATGGCGTCGTCCGCCCCGACGGAGACGACGACCACGGCACGACACACCCCAGAGCGACGCATGCGGCCCCAAGTCAGCCTCGCGTCACGATTTCGGCACCAACCCACGATTCGGGACTGCCGTCACCGATGCCGCTGAAGCCGCAGCGCCCGCCATGCTTTGACCCGAGTCAACGGGGTGGTCCTACCGTCCAGGCGTGGTTATTCACAATGAATGTTTTCTTCGACGCCAACTACGTCTCGGAGGACTCGGCGAAGATTCGATACGCCGTGTCGTTGCTGCGAGGACCCGCCATGGACTGGTGGCGCGTCATCGTCACGAAGCCGACCGACTACGCGACACTACCGACACGGGAAGGACAAACCGGACCCTGGGCGCCGTCGTATTTCGTGGAGGTGCCCCAGTATCGCACGTGGGACGCGTGGTGCGCAGGTCTGCGCGCTCGATTTGAGCCAATCGCGGCCTCGATCTCGGCGCGACAGAAGCTCCGCACTTGGCGCCAACTCGGTTCCGTCCAGGATTACACGAGCGGATTTCTGGCGCTATGCGAGCAGGTGGGCTACATGCATGAGAGCGAACGCATCGACTGCTACATCGGCGGCCTGAAGCAGGACATCGCTCAGGAAATCCAGCTTCGCGGCGTCACCGAGTTTCAGGAAATTCTCGCTATGGCGGAGAAGCTCGACTTCTTTCGCCGACCGAGACCGGGGTCCTACGGAAACAACACCTGGGGACATCGGCCTCGTGGGACGAACGAGAGCGCCACGATACGCGCCGTCGCCGCAAATGCCGCTGCCGCACCGTTCAAAGGGCGCTGCTTTGCGTGCAATCGGCCGGGACATCGCAAGAGCGAATGCCCGGAAAACGCTAAGGGAAAGGGGGAAGCTGAGCAGCAGACACAGACCAAGCAGCAGGGAAACGCTGGAAGTCAGTAGCAGACGGGCCCTCTACTGACAGGTCACGCCGCTCGCCCGACCCAACCGACCCTCACCGAGTGATTGTGCCGGTTCACGCAATCGACCACACCCGGCCGAATAAGGAGGGTACCACGGTAGATAGCCCTATACTGCTCAGTGGGAAAATTGGGACGGACTTAGTTAAAATCTTCGTAGACGGGGGAGCCAGCCACAGCCTCATTAACACTGCTACAGCACGAAAACTGCGACTGCCACTGGACCGATGCTTACCTGAGATCGACGCACGACTGGTAGACGGCACGCCGCTGGCAATACGGGAACGCGTAGACCGAGTTCGGATTCGATGCGGGGGTAACTTCACGTTTAGCCAGGAAATGCTCGCAACGACCCTCGACGGAACCGACATTTTACTCGGGCGTGATTGGCTGTGACGACACAATCCGCGAATCGACTGGACGACGGGTGACTGCACCGTGCGAGTGAACGGTAACAGCATCGCCTTACCTCGCTGGGGATCGCCTGAGTCTTCGTCGGTGCGTGTCAATGCGATCACGATGAAACGCGCTGTAGCGGCCGGAGCCGACGTGTACGCGGTTGACATTCGGGAAGCCGAGGCAGCAGACAAGGGAGGGGATTTACAGAAACTGCTGACCGACGTACCGAGTGATCTGGCAGCACTGTTAACACGATACAGTGACATTTTCCCGGATGACTTACCGACGGGACTGCCACCTCAGCGACCGCACGATCACAGGATAGAACTGGAACCGGGGGCACAGCCAACAGTACAGCGACAGTTCAGACTGACCCAACCCGAACTAGACGAACTAAGGAAGCAGCTCGATTACCTGCTCGAGAAAGAATTCATTCGCCCTAGCTCGTCGCCCTTCGCCGCACCCATACTGTTCACACCGAAAAAGGACGGGGGGTTTCGCATGTGTATCGACTACAGGGCACTGAACAGGGTTACCATCAAATCCCGTTACCCCATCCCACGAGCCGACGAACTGATCGACCA